CCCAGCCCCTGCCCCACCTTGCCGCAGACGTAGACTACGCTGGAGTCGGGGTCGTAGAAAGGCAGCAGGGCCCCGTTGCTCGAGTCCAGCTCTTGCAGCGCCATGGGCTCCTCCAGGTTCCCCTGGCATGTAGGAGGGGCAGTCAGGCCGGCAGCCCCCCACATCAGGACGGGCCCCAGCCAGCCTCTAACACGGCGGCCATTCCCTCCCATCTCCAAGCCTCGGCTCACCCAGTGTGCCCTGCCAGGCCCTCCCGGCGCCTGTCCACACCAGGGCTGACGGTCCCAGCCTGCTCCAGACCGTATAACCACTCAGCCAGGGCTGAGAGCCCCCTACGGGGCTAGGGGGTGCCAGGCAGGACCGGCCCCCACGTTGGGGCCCCCAGAGGCCACAGTGCAGAAGCACAGGGCTATGGTACAAAGCACTTCAGAGGAGAAGCTGGGAAGGCTTCCTGGAGGGGGCCTCTGTGCTGGGCTTCGAGGAGAGCCAGATGGGAACAAGCAAGCAGAGTGACGACGCGGGCAAAGACGGAGGTGGAGTGGGGGCAACAGGGCTGAGTCAGAGGGGGCCAGGAACAGGAGGCTCCTGAGGGCCTGAGGGCCACGCTGAGAACTGGTAGAGCCCCCAGGCTGAGGCCCAGTCTCAACCTGCCCCCTGGGCCAGTCTCGGCCACTCACCGGGTCCCAGAGCGCCAGCTGCCGCTCGCTCATGCGGCTGAAGCCAGTAGTGAACACCTTGCCATCTGCCAAGAAGATGGCCCGCATGGGCCGGGCACCCTCGTGAGCCTTTTCTCGCTCCTGGGGGGGACAGGTGGTCAGTACAGCACCCCATCGGGCCCCTGGGCCTGGCCACTGCCGTCCTCACCCCTGAGGCTACGTACCGCCACCAGGGTGCCCCGGCGGGGGTCAATGATGCGCACGCTCTTGTCCTTGCAGGCGGAGCAGAAGAGGCTGCCGTTGCGGTTCCAGCAGACGTTGTAGATGAGGTCAGGGTGCTGGGTGTCCAGGCGGTACAGTTCTTCGGCCGTGCCCACGTTCCAGATGAGCACCACGTTGTCACAGCCTGGTGAGCAGGCAGTGGGGGCCGTCAGCCCACGGGGCCACACTTGCCCACCCTCCTAGATCGGACCCTGCCCCTCTGAAGATGGGCCTGGGAGGGACTGCTGGGGTATCCCAGGCTGTGTACATGCATGTGGGGGGCAGAGTGCCGACCTGCGCTGAGCAGCACGTTGCGGGCCGTGGGGTGCCAGGTGACGATACCCACGCGCTTCGTGTGCCCCTCCAGCACCACCACCGGCTCCGTCAGCGGTGAGGCCAGCCCGTTTTCAGGGATCTGCCAGACCTGGGGGGAAGGTGGGGATGCTGGGCTGAGGCCTCTGCCTGCCCCTGCCACACCCCTGCCACCCGCACCATCACAGTCCTGAGCCTCACCATGACCGTGCAGTCCTCTGAGCCGCTGGCAATGACCTCGTCATTGTGGGGACACCAGTCAATGTCAAGGACGGGGCCCGTGTGCCCGCACACCGTTGGGGAGGCCTTGTCAACGCGGCCCGTCTGCAGGCATGGGGGGGACACTCAGGGGAAACCCAAGACCCCCAGGCTTCATCCCTCTCAGAGCCTCAGTCTTCCCCCCTATGGAGCGGGGATGACCCGCTTGGCTTGCCCCACAGGTGGGTGCCTCAAGGGTCACTGGACCGTGATTGACTGTGCCCCACCTGCCTGCCAGGTGAGCAGGAAGCGCTTCTGACCCTGACTTTATTGCCTCCAACCCCGACTGTGGCAATAACACACTTGCTCTGGGCTAACACCTTCTGAACAATAAATGTGATTATGACACCTGTCAGGTGGTGTGGGGATTGGCAAGATAGAGGGTGTGACGTGTGTGGAATGGTCCAGCAGGTGTGGTTGAGGTGCTTCCCGAGGGGGCCCACCTTGCCCAGCGGGAGCACCAGGAAGGCACCGCCACCGCTGGATTCCACAATCACTGCCAGGAACTTGGGGTTGACGGCGC